AGTGTAAAGTTTAACTGCATGTTTAAACATTATATAGCATTTACAGTCACTTTCAAGTGATATTGCTGTTACTGTTATAACGATCTTTCTTGATTTGTGTGATTTTTTTCTAATGTGTGGAGTTGATCTTTCTAGTATCCCTCATAATAAATGTCTTCGCTTACTTTTTTTACCTATTATAATATAAATGAAGGTATATGATTTGAGATGGGTGTGACATTTCAGTAGCAATTCCAGAAAATTCTGAAGAACAGGAATTATATAGGGCACCTGAGAAAACCTGCTTTAAAGCAGTATTGGATAATAAATTTGACTCTGCCTGTTTTCTTTTGACCTTTTTCCTCGGCAGTTTGTAGAGCACGAGTGCTGCCCTGTCCAGGGTTTCACCAGCGTCTCTTTTTTGCTCCTCTTGTTCTATGAAGAACCTTAAGTGTTTCTCCTACGAAAAAAGAAATTTCTCTTTCAGATTACGCTTCGCCTTTTGGCTATCCCTACAGAGGCTACAGTTTCGTTCTTTACTTTGAAAATGCATTTTGGTTTTGCAGAGAGCAACGAGGGGGAAATATTTCTGTAGCCAGTTTCATTAAGGAAGCTGGAGTAGAGCTTGAATGCGGACAAAGAGAGCTTTTCAGGTGGTTCAGCTGGTCCTGCCTGCCCACCTGTAGGAAGGGTGGGTTTGAAACACAACCAAGAGAAGGCGATGCCCGTCAGTAGCACTTCTGAGTCTGCTGTCAGAAATCCAGAGAGAACCAACATAGCTTGAGTTGGGAAGATGGAAAACCAGGAAGGCTTCCTGAGTTAAAATGTAGCAGGAGACTTCAAACTATTGCTTTTGGCTTCTCTTTCTCTGACTTACAAATTTCTGTTAAACTAATGTGATTTCACAAAGGTTTGCTTTCAGAATCTGTAATGAGCTTCAAATAAAGCTTGAGGCTTTCCCACTGATAAATTTGTCAGAAAATGTTTGTGAGGGCTTTTTTTCCCTTTTTACTTCTGTGTATTAACGTAGAAAAGTAAATACAGTTTATGATCACTAGGAAGATGCCCAATTGAAAATATTAATATGTATTTTAGTATATTACTGCTTATAAAATTGTAAACATATCCACAGTTTAAAGTCTAAATTACACACATCACTAAAATGCTACATAATTGGATGTATATATTCTTTGTAGTATCTCTCTCAGGAGTACTTCTATTTTATTTAAATTTTTTTTCTCTCTCTAGGCTAAACTCTTAATTGAGCGGAGCTAATAATTATTTCATGTGCGTGAAGTTTATTCCGCTGTAATTTAGATAAAATGTGCTTGATCCCTGGTAGCCATATTCATAAGGATGGGGCCGGTTTCTAATTTAACACTCCCTCTCTGTTGAAACGCCTGGGGCCGATGCTGAAGCTTAACCTCCAGCAGAGAATTTGCGTGGGGAGGTGAAGCCATGGGAAGCCTCTTTCCACCCTGCTCACTTCCTCCACCGGCACAAGGCTGTATTTCTCTTTCCGTACTAAACCTCCGCTCTTTTTTTTTTTGCCCCTGTGCCCATAGGATGCCCGGTAACGCTTTCCCGGCGTTTTAGGTTTGAACAGGGGCATCGCTGTTCCAGGAGGCAGCATCGCCGGAAGGTGCGGGATGAGGGAACCGGCTCCCGCTCTCCGTGTTAGTGGCTGCAGTGGAAAAATGTAGCGGCTGTGGTTAGTCACAGGGTAATACCAGCAATTCCCACGGGGCTGGAAAAAAGGCTTCTGAGAGGCTTTGCAAGGTTGGGCCTCTGCAGCTATTTTCCTAACCCCTAGCATTCAAAAATCATTAATCTAGTGTAGAAATAATAAACTCTCTGTGCTTTTGATTTGCTTGTAGGGCCCCCAGTGAACCTAAAAAAGATAGGGGAAGTAAAAAAAGGAAAAGTAAACTTTACATTTTTGCACCACTACTTAATGCCAGAAGCTGGAACTGTTAAGAAAAACAAAAAATACTGATTCGTGATAAATGCGCGGGTGTTGTCAGCACTAGAAATTCGTGTATCAGTTATTGGTTTTTTTCCAACCTTTCTGCAACAAATTTTTGTTTGCAATCAGCCCCACGTGCTGTATCACTGAAGAGATTTGCGTTTCAAGACGTTCCCCATGCCTGTCTGTCAGGACAACCCTGCTGACAGGGTTCGTGCTTACTTTTCCTATATATGCTAATAGAGTCTTCATGAGGGGCTTTGTAGTTTAGTCAAAAATGGACAATTTGCTGCGCAGCTTAACATTATTGCTAGCTGCAGTTTATAGCATCGACGTAAATTACTGCTGGTTCTGCTCAGAGGCTGTCTGAGGCCACAATGCCACTTAAATAAATGTGTAGGGACCCGTGGTCTGAATGTGTAGCCTCTTTTAAGCTCTCTGGCCACGTAACTTCTTACACAATTAAGTTACAGATCCAATTATGAAGACCATCATGTTGGAGCACTTGTGTTTTATGAAGGTTTTCGTAATGCCAACGAAACGTCATGAGTAGTGTAGTGTACGTTGTCACTGTCACTGGGAGAGGATGGTAGGCAACACTTGTGTGTAAATACTGTTTTCATGTTTTCTCTATGTGTTACCCTTCTTCCATGAAGAAGTGGAAACGGTCAGAGATCAAAGGGTTGAAATGAAGAAATGTCGAACCAGAAGGGAAAGCAGCCGCCGTCAGGGACTGGATGTGAGGCTTGAGACATCCTTGGTCTGTCCTGGTATTGCAACTTCAGTCTTGATGACCATTATAGTAATTAAAAACTTCCTGGTTTTTCTTTGTTAGAGAACAGTTGGTTTTGTTGATATCTTACTGGTGGTTTGTATGAAGTCTGTGCTTGTAAGAGTGAAAAAAATCTTCAGCAAATGTTTTGTATTATGTGAAAAATAATCAGTTAAAGTAGTCTTTGTAACTCAGTGAAACCTGGAAATAGGGGGTAGTGAATGTGCTTGCACACTGGAGCTGTGCCATATTGCAAGCCCCTCCATTTCCAGCACATGGAGTATAATCCCATGTTCTTCGATGCTCACGATGGTATCAATGGCTGAAGCAGTGAGGGGATGAAAAAAGGAAGCTGGTATCTGTATCCATTATAATATTTTGCAGTGTGAAACCAGGGATCACTTTATGCTACCAGGAACAGATGGGAAACAAATATCATCGCCGACTTTATTAAAAGCTCAACCCTATTTTTAGAATCTTTTAGAATTCTTTCACAACTTTTAAAATTGTTTTCAGTATTGTATCATCATATGGTGCCAACTCTGCTATATTGTAGTATGAGAAGGATTGTTCATTTTTTTCTCTGTTAGACCTAATCTCTGCTTTTTGCCAAAAGAAGATGAAAGAAAATCCCACTGCAGTCCTCAGTCCAAACCAGAAATACTAATTTTGTATCTTGGTGAGTTTAAGTAGCAGAGGAAGGGTTAATAGTTATTTCTAGCTTATTTATTTCTATCAGATTATGCTTATCAAAGTGATTTAAAATTATTCCATTAGTTGCAACAGTTCATCTTCAGAACAATTTTGTTTCATCATTATTCACAATGGTGTTATATTGTGTATGAACACATGCTACGAGACAGCTAGGATTTTTGTGACTCTTTTTTCAAGAAAGCAAGGAACTGTAGAAATCTAGGATGAGACAGCCCAAGTGACCAAAGCCTTATTGCCAGCAGGTGATTGCTGATAGGAGAACACCCAGGGGTTCTCAGAAGTAGTTCCTTTACTGTATGTCTAAGCAACATATATTCACACTGACCTTGTAACCTCTGCCAAGGAAGGAGTTCAGAGGAGCTTTGGCTGCTGTATTGCAGATCTACAGATAGCGGAAAATACTGTGCAATTGGATACATTTTAATTTGTATGACTGATGCTTTAATTTTCACTAAGGATGATTTTCCAAAGGCCCTTTGCTCCATCTGCATGTGGTACTTTCTGTAATTCCTACAATGAATCTTCTTCTGGTTTGTTGTTGTAGAAGGCATCAATTCTTGTTATCATAATTCCAGTGTGCTTTCACGTTTATTAAAATAATCTATTGCATAACATTAAAAATAAAAAATCTTTAATGGTTTTTAATATTGTAGATTGCAGTATAGCCCTAGCTCTTACATAATTGCTTGAAAAGTAATAAAATAATGTTTTGAGTGTAGAACGAGCAACAAAAAAATCACTTGTTTCATTAACTTATAATGTAGACTATGTGTTTTGTATAGTGTTTTTATTACTTCACCCTTAACAACCAATATCATTCTTGGAATAGAAAAATTAATACAGTCAGTTACTTGACAGCAATTTAAACTCTCTTGATTTGAAAGTTCTAGTATGTATGAATATCCCTTACATATGGAGTTGGGTATGATCTGTGATACTGTATATAAAATATTGTAATATGTGGCATTATGCTCCAGAAACCTTAAATTGTTACTTTCTTGCCTGTAATTTTCAAATGCAGCACTTGAAATTGTATGTAGTTTTAATAACATATTGGTAAATAAGGCAGTATGAAAATTATGTGATAGTAAAAATGTGGGTGGAGGCATGGGAACAGAAAAATGAGACTGCTGTTTCTCGGTACTGAAACAGTAGATTGCGGACTTATGTTTTTCCTTCTAAATATAGCGATCGTGGAAAAGTTGTGCAGCTGTGAGCTTTGCATGCTCTTTTAGATCAGTCTCTTAATACACCTTGATCCTGGTTCTTCCTCCTTGTACCTTCATCAGGAGTCCTTGTCTTTGCCCAGCGTTATGTTTTGCAGTTTAGTAAAATGTCTAGCAACACAGAGAAACAGGAGAAATTATTTCATTTGTATCACAAAACTTCAAAACTGAGCAGCAAATATACTGGTTATGCTTCTGTTGAATCATTATGGGAGACTATTTAATCTCATTTTCAGAATTACTGCACTGTAACCGTTTCATAGCTAGTCTCAATACTCTGTGGGCTCTTACTCTATCAGAGAGCACTGCTCTGTCATTTAACACATAGTTTTCTTTATTGCAGAAAAAGCAGCAGCAGCTAATGAAGATGAAGTGCAAAAAGCAGATGTATCGTCTACGGGTCAGAGTGTCATCGACAAGGATGCACTTGGACCAATGATGCTTGAGGTGAAGAGCACAAAATTCCTTTATTTAAGCCAGTTCTGCTCCCCCTAGGATAAAGAGCAATGTAATGAAATGAAAAAGTGCATTTGGAGGTCGCTGTAAAAGAATGGTCAAGAGAGAGAAACCATCCTGGCTACATGGGATTATATCATTTAAGAGCATGTTTAAAGAAGCATATTTCTATTGGATTCACTGGTGAAACTCTTTTTAACGTGGGGTGGGGAGAGGCTGAGAGAGAGATAATTCTGCTGCTTTGTAACACAGACAACTTGAGGGACTTCATTTGGTAGCAAGTCTTGGGTGTCTGCACATGCATGTTTTATTTGTTCTAAATCACGATGGGTTTGGAAGACCTGTTGTACCTAAACATTGACTTACATATACAGTAGTATACACGTGAGTAATACTTCCTCTAAAATTGCAGGTCATTGCTATACTGTTTTAATGGCTTATCATTTCAGCACTTACAGCATGAGTCTTCCCTCTAGAATATGAAAGTAATCTAGGAGAGCTTTTCAAGATGTCCATTTCAGTTTATTCAGTTAAGATTTCTGTATGATTTTAGCTGTCATTTTGATATCCCAAAAGGCTGCATGGTTAAAAACCTAGCTTCTAAATGTATTAATAGTAACGTTGGATAGGTATGTTATCTGGTCATATGCTGCTGTCCTTTGGCACTACTGCTTTATCTACTTAGGCTCACTTGCAAACTGTTTATTCCTGTTCTGACTGTGGGCTTTATCTGTAAGGAAGAATAAATGTTACTTTAGATAAAACAAAACACAAACTCTGAATCAAACTGAAGGAACCAACTTTGGCAGAAGCCATATTTATTCTGTCATCTCTGAATATTGCAGGAGCAAGGTGCATATTGTAACAGTTTTAAGTATTTGCATTGTTTTTCATGATTTGTTACATGAAAACATAGCGTTCGGTACTATGTGCAAAATAAAGGCTCCAAAATCACAGTACTAAACAAAAGGAAGATTAGACAGATTGAAGTGAAAACATTCTTCTTTGAAAAGTGTGGGTAACAAATTAATTGATTTAATTTAATATTTATTATACATGCTCACATTTTGGTTCTGCTGTCAAACAAGGTTAAACATCCATCTCTTACATTGCTATGCTAAAATTTAACTTCCTATTTATTTAGTTGTAAGGACCTGTTTTAATCACAGGGAAAGTAAGGATAAGATTTTTTTTCCTGCTTATCTTGCATGATTGGCTGTTGCAGCAAACATGACATGTAAAATCACCCGTCTGTTCCATTATTCCATTTAATTTGGTTTTCCTTCACAGTAAAACCATTGCATATTAACAATGAAAGATTGTAGAACTAAATTAATAACCTGTGGTCCTTTTGCACTAAGAAACTTAAAAGGACTGAAAGTTGTTATACGTTTACTGTGAAAAGACTACAGATACTTTCTTTGTGTCTGTATCTACTTAAGGAAATGCAATTAAGTTATTTCATCTTTACAGAACCCCTTTATACAACCTCTTCAAAAACCTACGCTTTTCCATTGCCAAATAATAATAAAAATGGCAATACTGATGAACAGTTTATTAGTTGATTCAGTTTAGAAATGTAATTGTCTGGTTTTATTAAAGAATAAAACTGAAGAATCCTCAAAATGGTGAGCGTTTCCAGCTGAAGAGAGAGAGTAAAATTCATCAGGCAGCTGCCCCTGAGGAATATTTTAACATATTTCTTGGTTAAAGCAGAAAGTAGATAGGAAGAGAGGATGAAAAAATAGTCAAGAGAGAGCTGACAACGTCTCAAAGAACACAAATGTATTTTCCATTCTAGTATATCATCTAAAATAATATCTGTTCTCTTGTTTTCTCTTCCAGCATGTTGTCCGTTCTTTGTTTCCCCATTGTACCAATAGCTCTGAAGAAAAGTTTTTGTTGTGGTTGCATACATATGGGGACAGAATTAAGGAATTATTGCAAAAGTGGAAGCTTCTAAAACATTTAAGTGGCTTGGTGCATTAACTTCCTCAAAAGCCTGCTGCTGCTTACCTATAAGTTTATTTTATTAATAGAACGGAAAGAAATGGGAGACTGGCATATAAGGCCCTGTGTTGCTTTAGGCTCAGATGACCATTTCTGTGGTCCACCCAAGAAGCAGCTGTGAGGAAATGGCACAGAGCAATTCCTTGCCAAAGAAGTGGCTGTAGTAAGAAAATAGTAGGGAAAACTGAAGATTATTGTGGGATGCCAGTAACTCTCATAATCTCTCGCTTCCCATCTCTGTCTTTGAAAGTTTTCTCCTTAGGACTCGGATAAACATCTGCTATGGCTTTGGTTTTGCAATCCCTTTGAATTGATGTAAGCGTGAACCGCTGCCAAACAGAATGGTTCAGCCAAACCCACACCCTTCTGCCAGCTCTGAACACCATGTGGTTTCATGGTGGGCCAGTTCAGGGGACTGATGTGGCTAGCATCTATTTTTTTTCTTGCATTAGTTTTCAGCCAAATCAGTTCTCTGGTCCAGCTCTCCATATCTGCAGACAGTGCAGGGAGCTGTCGTGATGTAGAAAGGACTAAACCGAAGAGGTCATGCTTACATTGGCTTCAGCCTCAATTCATTGAATCTTGTAAATTGTTGTTAGTTAAACTAAATACTACTCAGCCGGAAAATGTCATGAAAGCCCATGGCAAGGAGGGAGCTCTCCAAAGAAAGTGAATTAACTAGAGGAACCAAGAACGATCAGAAAGGAAAACAAGGCACTGATAAAAAACAAAGTCAGATATGAGCATTTGTGACAATTAACAGGACAAAAAAAGACCTAGTTTATCTTAATTTAGAGGCAGTTAGGAAAAATATGTACTTGTACATTTATTTGTGGGTTTTATTATTTTTTTAATTTAAAAATAGAACAAACAAAGCATTTGGCAACCATTGGCTCAGCCACTCTGCTTGTGTGTTTTGGTTTCACTATTCCTCCCATTTAGCAGAATCATTAACTAACTTAGTCTGGAAAGGATCTCCAGAGCTTGTGTAGTCCCACCTCCCACTGCAAGTAGGTCCAACTGCAGCAGGTAGCTCAGGTCCGAGTCCAGCCAAGGTTTGAATATCTCTGGGGGAGGAGATTTCACAGACTCTTTGGGCAGCCTTTTCCCATATCTGACCACCTTCATGGTGAATTGGGTTTTTTTTCTTGTATCTCCATGAAGTTTCCTGTCTTGCAACCTGTGTCTGTTGCGTCTTGTCCTTCCCTTTGGAACCTCTGAGTAGAGCCTGGCTCTGTCTTCTCTTTAGCCTTCTGCTAGGTGGCTGAAGTCAGAAATAAGATCCCTCCTTGGCCTTCTCTTTTGTACTGTCTGGATTAGCTAACTGCTCAGTAAGGTACAATATTTTTAATACGTATCTGTAGCCTGAGGACTTGAGACCTGCCTGCTAAGACCAACACACAAGTTGTATAGTATACAAATTTGATCATATCAAAAATGCCACATGCCTGTATACGTTTGCTCCACCTTGTTAGACTGTTTTGCAGTGAGCTGAGTTCAGGTTTAGTATGGATCCACTCACTTCTAATTAACCCATGATGAATCACGCGTTGCCTGTTTTTCTGACTTGTTTTCGTCCATGGAGATGCTACAACCAACAACTGTTCTAGTGATTTCTTACCAATCCTTAAGAGAGGTGAATAAATCAGGCAAAGCTGCAGAAGTCGTATGGGTTAATTATTAATTGAATGCTTAGACCAAAAGCTTTGGTGCTTTAAGTTTAATCAGCTCATATGACATAAAGTCAGAGGGATATATTCTGAAATATTTCTGCCGTCCACAATCACGCTTGCATCTGAAGAAAGTTTGCCTGAGGAGTACTTACTGATACTCAAGTTTTACTTTATCCTCATCAGGTAGAAGTGATGTAGCATTTGGCTTAGGCTTCAGATAACATACAGCAGATATCTTGGAAAGAATGCTGCAGCTAGGTTGTCACCGGCACAAGAGATAAGGGGGGGAAACCAATCAGCAGAAATGACTAATTTAGACACTTCCCTGCAGAAACTTTGGAATACCACGGAGCTGAGTTGAAGAGGTGAAAGTCTGGTTCCTGTTCCCTGGGTCATGTGTGGACTGAATTAAACTGGTGTCAAATAAAAAAAAAATTAAAGCGGTTCTGGGAGTAGGGACTAAAGCTGCTCCATCCTCGCTGCTCACAGCCTGCTCTCAGCTCCCTTTGCCCTTCTCTGCTTTTAATCCCTCACGTTCCTGGCTACACGGGGCCTCGCTTCTATGAAGATGCACTGCTGGGGATGGGGAGAGAGCCTTTCTGTTTCTTTCTGCCAGTGTTTTCCTTGCCTTGTGCCAGCACATCTCGTGATGTTTTCCTGGGATCATTCTCCTTGTGCTGCATAGAGGAGCGAACAGACTCTAGGTTTAGCAGAACCAGCTTCTGGTACAGGTTTCTTACTTCATAGACAGGCAGATAGGTAGCAACCTCTTCTATTATTTTTGTTTGTTTGTTTGTTCAGGGCAGGAGATTTAACTTGTTTTCATGTGTGGGTTTCATTAGTTTGCAAGATGTGCACCTTCTGTGCTTTTACATTGTTTTGATATAAGTAAGATTAGATGCCCAACCTGAAATGTGTCCTTTGCTATTACAGACGAGAATATAAAAACTGGCATGGATGCAGAAAAGTTCAGCTATGTCTTCTGAAGGGAATATTTTTTTTCTGGGTATCTTGTTGTGAATCTCATTGTTTGTTATTGTGTTTCTTTTCTTTCTCTTTTTCTCTTTCTCTCTCTGCATCCCCCCCCCCGCTCTTTAGGCCCTAGATGGGTTCTTCTTTGTGGTGAACCCGGAAGGTAATGTTGTGTTTGTTTCTGAGAATGTGACACAGTACCTAAGGTACAACCAAGAAGAGCTGATGAACACAAGCATATATAGCATCCTGCACGTAGGGGACCACAATGAATTTGTCAAAATCCTGCTGCCAAAATCTTTAGGTATGTATCTTTTCCTTATATCATACTATTATTTATTTACTTTGGTATCATAAATCAGCATTTCAATACCTTAAGTTAATGTCCTTCCACTACTTACAGTCTCATCATATACACTCTATTTATTTTTAATGTATATATAGGCTGTATGAATGATTAATGCTATTCTCAAAAGCATCCTCCACTCTTTTCAGAATGTTCTTTGTTAAAATTACTCTTAGTAACTCATGTTAGCTCATATTTTTAATGGATCTCCAGAGTGAATCACTAAAAGACAGCATTAGCTATGTGAACTCTCTGTTAGTTCTCTGTCTAGGCTGGTTATTCTAAGAATGGCCCAAGAAAGGGAGAATATAAAAGAAAAATCGGAAAACTCCTTATTTTAGAATTTTTATTTCAATGTTTTTAGTCTCACCAATATTTATCCCTGTCTTTCAAAATGGTGGGGTTTAGTTGCAGCCATTTTTGGATTCATATTAATATTGGTTTTAATGTCATTGGTTTTTGGAGGAGGTGAAAGAGAAAGTCAATACTGGGCAGCTCATTTACTCACAGTCATTTAAAAAGTATTATGCAATTCACTTTAGCGTTTTATGACCTCACTTATAAACCCCTGAACAATCAAAAATGTAAATGACTAAACCCCATAAATTACTGCCTTTATTGCATTTTAGGACTGAAGAGGGCAAGTGAAGACTATTTTAAATACAACCCTGCTATTTCCTTATGTGGTGTTACATTAATTCGCTCTGACTGATGTCCAGTACCTATATTTGTGCATCTCAGGATTTTGTTTCCTTTTTTACTTGTCTTAAGCGCTATATTAGGCTTTAGTTTTATCCACCACTGCACCCAGGTCATTCTCATCCCTTCAGTCTTTCCCATTGTAGCTGAGGCTATGTGTTTTCATTATATTCCTGATGTTATTTCTTCGTATTTCTATAAATGCATATTAGTTTCCTTGCTTTCTGTTTCTAACCTGGAGACAGATTTTTGTACAATGCTGCTGTCTCTTTTGTATTAATCACTTCTAAATTCACTGGACAGATCCCACATACTGTCTTCTTCCAGGCACATAAATTAACTTGATCTACGCAGTGGGCTTTTCACTATGCTGTATAACTTTTACACCAATATTTAGAATTTTATCCTACTTTTCTACTATGTCTTTAAAAGTCACTTGGAAAAAACATGATAGCTGAACAAATTAGCAGTGCTCTTAAAATGTGAGAATTTTATAAATTACCTTGTTATGTGCTGGTTTGGGCTCTAATATTAAAAATAGATTGTTGTTGTTAAATGAGCTTGTTTCCCAACCAGTCTGCAAAGCACCTTGATTAATTTCCTGTGGATAAGCAGCAGAAATGACTGCTAGCAGATTTATCTCACTATATGATCTTTGCTTTGCTCAGTGAACGGGGGATCTTGGTCTGGTGACACTCCTAGGCGTAATAGCCATACCTTTAATTGTCGGATGCTGGTAAAACCTCTTGCTGATTCTGAAGAAGGCCATGATAACCAGGAAGCACATCAGAAATATGAAACTATGCAGTGCTTTGCTGTTTCTCAACCAAATTCCTTCAAGGAGGACGGTGAAGGTAATTACTGCTTTCAGTTTGTGTTAGTATTTTCTCTTTCCTTGCTGTTGCGGGTCAGCAGTTTTGGTGCAGTTGATAAAGTGAGGGAAAGTTGATAAAGTGGCTTCTAAATCCTGAAAAATGGAAAAATTAAGCTTTTTCCTTTTTTATTTAGCTGTAGAAGTGTACTTTCATCTTGGATTGCTTGCATGCACCTATTTGTTAAACAAATATAATTGAAATTGAGAAACTCTGTTTACCGTGAAGAGATATCCTAGTTTTGTATCACTGCAATTGTAAGAAGAATGTAGCTGACTGGGAGGAAAGTTTCAATGGGCAATTTCTTGAGTTCTTAGAATTTGCAGACAATTGTGGTTCACCATTTCCTTTACCATTTACTACTTCAGCAGGTATATTTCCTCAGATTGTATTTTAAGTATTCAGATAAGTAAAAATGGCTTATTATGAAGCTACTTTCTCAGGGACAGCAAGCATTTGGGGCATGTTTAAGAAATGTGGCTTAGAAAGTACAAAATAATGAGTCTTGAAGAAACGGGCTGCCTGTGCATGCAGTATACTCTTTTTTATTACTTATCTCCTGAGTGGTTGAGCTGCTACAGGTATATGCATAAACAAATGCCAATAATTTTGGGCTGTGGTGGTGTCCTTGATAATTTTTCTTCTGAAAAAGAGAACAAACCCACCTCTCCTGTGTTGTTTAATGTTGAAGGAAATAAAGAAGATGTAAAACCACTGAGTTCTACCTATTCTTTTATTGATACAAAATCTATTCTTTCGGTCCAAAAATATTTAAAGAACTTTTAAAAAACATTTCTGAATTCTGTGTGGAAACAAAATCTTCCCCTTCTATACAAATTACTGAAGTAACATTTTTCTTCAAGATTTGCAGTCTTGCTTGATTTGTGTTGCAAGAAGAGCTCCAATGAAGGAAAGACCACTTCTTCCTTCTTCAGAGAGCTTTACTACTCGCCAGGATCTACAAGGTATTGTGAAATAGGAGTTTTTAATTCTTTATTTCCTCACCCCACCCCCCAAAGGGGAAATTGCTGTAACAAATGTTTTATCTGATATCAGGCAAAATAACTTCACTGGACACAAGTACCATGCGAGCAGCTATGAAACCTGGCTGGGAGGATTTGGTGAGGAGGTGCATTCAAAGGTTCCATTCGCAGCACGAGGGAGAAATATCTTTTGCCAAGAGGCATCACCAGGAAGGTTAGGTTTCATATTTTTAGCACTTTCTATATTTAAACTGTTTGTCATTTGTATCTCTTGGTTGTGTTCTCTTTGTTATGTTTACATGGAGCAAGCATGGGCTACTGCCAGTCCCTTTTTCAAGCTGATTTGCCTAACACATGATGGCCCTCTCTAGAGAGGTTTTGCTCCTTTCTCCCCGTTTTAGCCTTCTGTTATAACCATATATATTGGAGGGTGCTTTAAACCTTCAAATTGTTGCAATTACTTTAGAAAGACCTTTGCATGTTGCCCACCAAAACATTTACTACACGTTATTCTTCAGAACCTCAGCTCACACATTGCAGTTCATTGACCTGTATCCCTTTTCTCCACAAAAATGGACTTTTACTGTCACATTTCCTGTGAGAAACACTCAGTGTGAATTATCAAAGATGCAGCACTCGTGCTGTTGGGAAACCTACATTGTTGCACTGTATCTAGCTGATAAGTGCTACAGGATACACCACAAGCCCATCTACTCAGCCAAGATTATGGTAGGTAAGATCTAGGAGAGTACTGCACTGTGAAAGGTTCCCCATGAGGTTTCGGTGGTAGTGACTGGGTGGGGATTTTTCTTTTCATAAAACCCTGATACTGCTAATTCTAGTAACACAGATCCAAATTACTAAAAACAACTAGCCCTTTACAGTCCACAGGAAAGTCCTTTCAATACCAGTGGGGAATAACTCGAACATTTCCAGTGCAGGAGTGCAGGAGCGCAGGAGCATCATTATTTGGGTTCATGTTTATAGAACAGGGTTTACAGCTGGCCTGTAACAAATAGTTGCCATGGTCATTAAACAACTGGCATGCTGTCTTGGAAACTAAATTGTAACTGGAATCTCAAATTATTCCATCAAATATGCACACACATAAAAAAAAAAGAAAGAAAGAAGAAAAGAAAAGCTTTAGCCAGCGGCATTAGTTAAATATTCTTTAATATGTTCTGCTTTCATGAAACCTTCAGGTTTCAGTTTGGGAATGTGGGGGCACAGGAATACTGTGATATTTTAGATAACAGCTTTTGGGGCATATACAGTAGAAGTGCTAAAAGTTATGCTGTGATTTCGGACAGAACTGAAGAAGGTAGTCTGCAATTAAAGTTACAGCAGGGGTTTAGAGAGCAGTTTCAGGTAAGGACCTCTCTCTGCCGGAGGTTATTTTGGAGTTTCTGTTATGGCATCCAGCCACTTATTACTTCAGTCCTCTTCAAATGATTCCTGACCAAATTAGCAGCTCCTACATCCAGTGCTGAGAATTGAGTGGGTCCTCTCTAAGCTATCTGTGAAGTGATAAAAATATATGTGTTTTGGAGTTTACACTGTATCATTTTGCAGGAGAGGCTTAGGATTGTGGTATAAACTGTAGAATTAGTCTAAATGAGGGGGCTCTTCTTGTGGAAGTGAAGAGAGGAGAGGGAGAAAAACCTCTGGAACTGCTTTTCTGCAAAGGATCCAGTACTAGAGAGGAATAATGGCTGAAATGTTTCCTTCCCCTGCCCTGCAGCGTGGAGAAGAAAAACAAGGCGTATCTTGTGCAGTAGCATCTTTGCACTTGACTGAGGAACCCCTTGCATTTTTAAGTCATTATGGTTTGGGAATAGAAGCAAAGAAAGTAATGCTGTCCTACATGTAATTCAGTGTTACAGTGTGGAAAAAAAATCAGCATTAGCTTGATAAACAATAAAAACCACAGAGTTTTCAAATTAACTCTCAGTAAAAAGTGCAAAATATATGGTAAGTTTTTATTGGCCACGGTCAGAAAAATAGCATTTCCTCAAGAGGAATACGGAAACATTCTTGTTTGCTTAAAGAATTAGTTTGGAAAATGATTTAAGTAGAGATTTCACTTGTATCCTGTTGGCATTGAGTACTGGAATTTCCTGATGTGGTATATGCTAAAGTTAAGAGCTTTGGACCTTCTGGTGCCCAAAGGTTAAACTGAAACAATGACATACCTAACAGTGAAATTTTGCTTTGTATTGTTTCACAGTTGTAGGTTTTTGTTTTTCTTTACATTTTTACTCTGAAAAACCCCTTCTGGTTGTTTAAATTGTGCTTCCTGTTTTCTCACTGCCTAAATAATACTTTAAAACCTTGCAGAACAATATATAACAGTGGGGGGGACAGGGAAGGAAAGCAATCATAACCAGTCCTGCAAGGCTGAAAATCTGGTAGCTCTGTAGAGGAGACTATTTAATAAAGCCACACTTGGAAAACTGTGTCATTTCATTACAACAGGAAATATTAAAAGACAAGCAATGAAACGAAGATCGGATGATATTATTAATTTAAAAAAAAAAAAAAAGAAAAGAAAGAAAACCAAAACCACAAAAAATGTGTATGTATGAAAAAATAGGAAATGAAAAGTATTTGTAGTACTGCATTCCTATTTTTTCTCTCAACAATTATATGAAAATTCTGAAGTTAAGTATTTCCCTCCTGCCGAATCTGCAATCCAAATATAATAGCTTTTGGACTAGGAGTTGAAAAGGATCAGATTTGTTTCATTGATGGCAAAGACCAAACAGTAGAATAAATGTTTGGAGGTTTGCTTTTCCATAACTTGATTTTCATTTTTAATTAAAGAAATGTTACAGGGGTCTACAGAAGTTAGAGAATTAAATTTGTTGAAGTTCAGATTTACACTGAAAACTTAAGGGCTGCAGAATATGTGCAATGAAGTCAACCCCAAACCTGAATTGCAGTCATATCTAACACTGGGGAAGGATAGCACAGCCCCAGTTTTGGTTTAGGTAATTGTATTTGTAATTTGTTTGAGCTGTATATTTTCTTATTTGCTCCTTAAAAAGTAATCATTTCTTTTTCTAGTTCTTCTCATTTCTAATTGTTCCCATGTAAGAGATTTATGAACTTTTTAAATTAAAGTAGTAGTAAGAGTAACTGCTACAAGATAATTTAAGCAGGCAATAAGGAGAAAAAGATACAGGCTAATGGAAACAGATGATGTAGAAACTAAAGGTGTTTATATTAATCATCATGATGTAGATGGTGCAGATGAAAAAATGTATGAGGAACAAAAGGAGTTAGCCACTTATTTGATAAAAAGTGAAACGGACATGGAGGACTTCTTGATCTATTCCTGAAATATTCTGTATTTCGTAGTATCTGTCCTGTGATTGCTGTCACTCTTACAGGTTTTCTTTTTATCATCTTAGAGTATGTGGGATCCTTTATTTTATACGCATCCCATCTATTTATTCTCAAATTTTTTCTACTGTGGTTTTGTTTGCTTGTTTGTTTTTTTTTAAATTAACACAGTGTCTGTGGTATCAGTGCTAATGGATTTAGAACATCAGATGTTGAGCATCTAAGATAATCGTACTATAGTTTCTCATTAATTTAATTCTGTTATTTTGCTTGCTTGCAGTACTAAGGCAGGGACTAGCATTTAGTCCTGTTTATCGGTTTTCCTTGTCTGACGGCACTATCGTTTCTGCCCAAACGAAGAGCAAGCTCATCCGTTCTCAGACGACTAGCGAACCTCAGCTTGTAATCTCCTTGCATATGCTTCACAGGTAATCCTCACCAGTTTATTACATCCACACTCTGCAGAGAGACAGGGAAAGTCGAAAGTTGCCAAAGCAAATAGATTGTTTAAGGCTGATAGACGTTCAATTGACCTAGAACTGACAGTGTGAAAACAAAATAAGTTTTTGAATTCAATGCTTACAGCAGGAAAAGACTGTAAGATTATTTCAGGGCTTACATATGGCATGCTGGATTTTCACATCAAGATCTTCCATTAAACAAAATTTCCTTTAATCTCATGTCCTTAGATTCAGTATTTTAATCTCCTGTATTTTGCATTGTAGACAAGAAACTTTCCCAATGTACTTAAATTTAGAAAACTTTGAAGGATAAATTCCTGAAGTTCATAGTCACATTTTGGGCCTGGGTCTTCTTTAAAGAATATGTTATGATTATTAGAACTGCATTTGGGGGTTGGACTAGATGATCTCCAGAGGTCCCTTCCAACCCTAACCATTCTGTGATTCTGTGATTTTAGACAAACTGAGTATTTTAACTCCTTGTCTCTCTTCTTGTCTTTTCTGGTGCTTGGAGTCATGCCTTTCACGTGTCCACTCCTGAGAATTGCCACCACTATTGTTTGGGTTTTTTTTAAAAAGGCACAGGCAATAATATGTTAAAGTAAAGGATAAGTAATCACTGACCTCAGAACTTCAGTGTAAAATTTGAATTAAGTCATTGCGTGTCCTGGTATGTTTGTGTCAGATTTATTATTTTTTTTTCAGATTTTATTTACTGATTATAATTGCAATGCTGTTTCCCTGTATGCACGGTATCACTTTTTTGAGAGGAAGACAACAGCTTAGAGCTGTAATTAAAACTGAAACTATTTTACAGATATTGTAGATTTTGAAAGTGACCTGACCAAAAGCTCTCTGAAATTTGTTTTCTTTGGATTGCTGAATATAATTGGTATTTCATGAAGTGCTAAATCTTAAATTTAAAAAAGCACTATTATGTTAAAAATGGTACTTGCAAATATTCCTGCTTTTTTTAGCAGAACACTGGTACTATTGTAATAAGGTTTTAAAAATCCACCTCTCTTTTTATAGTTAATGTTCTTCACCTTTGCCTTTATACTTAAGGTAACAAATGCAGAGTAGCAGGCTTCACTACTCTGTGTGCTTCAGTTCTTTCACTTCTGATGCTTCAGCAAAATGCGAAGGTTGATCTGCACTTATCCTGTGCAAGTAGGAATGGTTTTCATCTCATCGAAAATAATGTTCCATTAGTATTTGGTTTTGGAAGTCCAGAGTTGATTTGATTTTTCTCAAAACCTCATTTTTTGTCTTCCTAATCTACTTGACTCTGTCTCTTTTATAGCCTTTAGCATTTCAGAATATGTCTGATTTTTCTGATTCAAGTTTTAGCACAGAAGTAAAAAGTACATCGCCTCTTCCCATAAACTAATTAAAATCTACTGAAGAAAAGAGAAGTGACCTTCAGATGCTCTCACAAGAGCTTTTTCTCTGTGTGTGTCTCTCTCTTTTGTTTCCTCCATCTTACAGCCTACATCTCTAAAATACGAGTTTCAGCTCCTATGTGTGTGGGTTTTTTCTTTCTTCTCCTTTTTTCCTAAATTCTCATGCAGGACTGGATTGCTAACAGACTGTTCCCGTTCTGAAGCAGTATCCAGTAGTTCTCTTGGCTCACATGCTGTTTTGGAGCAGTATCGCAATAATCTGGCAGTGTAGAAATGCAACTTTTTCAACTTTCTATTCGCTATGAACTTTGTGGGCAAATAGCCCACTCCAGACTTGTAGTGGGGCTAACTCATAGAAATTCAAAACTCCGGCAAACAGCTGTCCACAGCTGTCTTGTAAAACATGTATTTGTTTGGGTCATGTGTTTCAGATAAGACTTCTGTCAGTTCTAGAAGTTAGCTCTTGCCGAATTGTAGGGAAGAGATAAACATTAAAGGGAGGGAGTCTGAAATTGTAACCTATCTGCATTTCTAATGACTGTCATTTAAATTGAGGTATAATTTTGTTTTTCCTCTCTTCTACTGATTTGTTAATAAGGTGCTGAAAAATCATACCGTTAATGTGCAGCCATGTTGAGAGCTGCATATCACTTTTGTCAAACTGTTGATTTGCTTTTAATTGTAGGCTTGTTGTGTTTATTTTAAAGCGAGGTTTGGGGTTTTGCTTCTTTTTCTGTAATGTAATTGCAAGTTGGCCACTATCATTTTAGCTAATGGGTTGTTTTTCTTCCCCTTGCCACATAGAGAGCAGAACGTCTGTGGAATGAATCAGGATTTGACTGGACAAGGAATGGGGAAGATACTGAACCCGATTAGCTCCAGCAGCCCTGCCCATCAGGCCATGTGCAGTGGGAACCCAGGTCAGGATATGACCATCAGTAGCAATATAAATTTTGCCATAAATGGCCCAAAGGAACAAATGGGCATGCCAGCAGGCAGGTTTGGTGGTTCAGGGGGAATGAACCATGTGTCGAGCATACAAGCATCCACTCCTCAGGGTAGTAACTATGCACTAAAAATGAATAGCCCCTCACAAAGCAGCCCCAGCATGAACCCAGGGCAGCCAAACTCTATGCTTTCCCCAAGGCATCGCGTGAGCCCTGGAGTGGCAGGAAGTCCTCGAATCCCACCCAGTCAGTTCTCCCCTGCAGGAAGCTTGCATTCGCCCGTGGGAGTCTGCAGCAGCACAGGAAATAGCCATAACTACACCAACAGTTCCCTGAACGCACTTCAGGCCCTCAGCGAGGGCCACGGCGTTTCTCTAGGATCGTCGTTGGCTTCACCTGACCTAAAAATGGGAAATTTACAAAATTCCCCTGTGAATATGAATCCTCCCCAGCTAAGCAAGATGGGAAGTCTGGACTCTAAAGACTGCTTTGGACTATACGGGGAGCAATCAGAAGGTACAACTGGACAAGCAGAGAGCAGCTGCCATTCAGGAGAACAGAAAGATAATACCGATAGCAACATGCCACCGGTCGTCAGTGGCGAGAGACCTGATGGACAGAATAAACTGCACGACGGAAAAAGCCAGACAAAGCTATTACAATTGCTGACCACCAAATCGGATCAGATGGAGCCTTCGCCTTTGTCCAGTACCATGGGAGACGTTAGCAAGGACTCCACAGGAGGGTTGCCTGGGTCTGGTTCAGCACACGGAACCTCGCTCAAGGAGAAGCATAAAATTTTGCACAGACTATTGCAGGACAGTAGTTCTCCTGTAGACTTGGCCAAGCTCACAGCAGAGGCCACAGGCAAAGAACTGAACCAGGAGTCCAGTAGCACAGCTCCTGGTTCAGAGGTGACTGTTAAACAGGAGCCAGCGAGTCCTAAGAAGAATAATAATGCACTACTTCGCTACTTGCTAGATAAAGATGATACTAAAGATATTGGTTTACCAGACATACCCCCAAAACTGGAGCGGTTGGACAGTAAGACAGACCCTTCCGGTAGCACAAAGTTAATAGCTATGAGGACAGAAAAAGAAGAGATAAGCTTTGAGCCTAACGAACAGGTAAGCAAATCTTTGCATGACATGTGAATGAGATGTTCTAGGCCTGCATTC